GTGGTGTAAATCAAAACCACGAGTGTTTGTTTAAGAAATAAGCTCCTTGTGCATAAAATGACTTTTTTTCTTTAAGGGGTTGGGGGCGAAGCATCCTTGAACAAAATGAGCTGGTGCTGAGGCTCTGTCCCTCCACAGGCACTCCCTTGCCTCTTCTGCCCTTACCTCTTTTGAAGGTGTAAAAGGTTCTTTTGGTAAGAAGTTTTATGCTTTTTCTTATCAGACAAAATCTGTTTCTCTCAACAGCCTCTGCTTGTTTTTATTGCATTTTGAACAGTCAGCTCTGATTTTTATAGGCATCTTTTATTCTTGTGTTTATTAAACTTCTTCACATGGGGGTTAGAGTAAGAAATAAATTATTCTTCGGTAGTTTTTTAACTGAATAGGCCATGTGGTCTTCCTCAAATATATAATTCGGTGTCCTGAAGAGTGCCCTGTCCACTTTGTGCATAGGCTTCTGGATTAAAAGGTTTTGAGAGCTGGGAAGCTCATGCTGGGCACTGTATTCTTTCTGTCTAATGATGTTAGTGCTCTCCAGATCCAAAAGGATAAGCAAAAAGATTCCTCTGTGGGAATTAGTGTAATTTCAAGTGCTTTCTTCTCTGACAGGAAATTATTTAGCAAATATAGTTGTGTGCTTGTTCATTTCTTTTGTTACCAAGAAGATCAAGACAGCTGAGTTGGTGCATCCCTGCTCCAGTGTTAAAGGAAGGGGAGTTTCATTTAGGGCGATTGGGTAAGGAAAGGCTGGGTTTATAGCAGTGCTTTCACATGTCCTTATGAATTTTTCAAACCCCTCTTAAGAGGAAGTCCCTAACCATTTCACAGTTACCCTGCAGCCTCTGCTGCTTCTCAACCCACTGGCCTGGGACAGTCAGGTCACACAAGAGGCTTCCACCTGGAATGTTTTTGCTTCGAAACTCTTTTTCTAGAAAAGGCTAAAGTTCTGAGGAAGCTGTCACGTAGATTTGCTTGAAGTACCGTGAAATTGTAAATGCAAGATTGCTGTAAAGAGAGTGGACCTGGTAATGGATATGCATAAGCCTCCGGCTCTGTAGGTTCCTATTGTTACCGTGTTTGGGGGCGCAGCTGAGGGGAGGGACAGGGTGCTGATGTCTTTTTCTTTAAGCGTGTTAATATTGATTTTAGAAGCTCTGTGTTCCAACAATATAAATGCAAATGCCTGTAATTGGGAGCCGCGTGCAGAATTTCTCAACAGAAAACATGTTCAACTTTTCATGACAATGAAAGGAAAATATAAAGCCTCTTATTTATTGGTGGTGGTTTGAATCCTGGATTTCCTTTCAAGTTACTTTGCAGTGCTAAATAAAATACCTAATTGCAGTGCTCGCAAAATTCAAATGAGTACATTTGTTCTTCTGGTAGCTGGCGGCTATTTGCAGTCTCTGGACACCCTCAGCATTATTTTAGCACATCCATAACTTCTGGTTGTGCTGTGAGGAAAAGCTGGGAGGGCTGGGAGCAGCAAGAGGGAGGAAGACTTAGAAGCCCCAAATGTTGCTGACAAAAATCACTGCTGAAGTTGGAACATGTGCTCAGTGTTGGAGTGGAAATGGGTGAGGATCTCAAGGTAACACTTAGGGATGATCAGGCTCTGATAAAAGAAGGGAAGTGTCAGTGAACCTCTCCTCTTAATTTCCTCATGCCGCTTTTCTTCCCCTTGCCCTCCGGGGAAGAAGGAATGAAGGTCCCTGCATGGTGGAGATGGAGCTGAGCGTGTTGAGCTCACCGGGCTGCTGTGAAACGTGAGAGAGCGCCCGGCTGCCTTCCTGCATCGGGGTCTGTTGGGGGGTTGTGTGTGTGTGTCTAAGTGCTCACCATTTCATAATAATTACTAATGAAATTCTAGATCTGTAATAACATTTTGGATATCTAAAAGAAACCATATGCTTGTAAAAAAAAAAAAACCAACAGAGAAAAAAGTGGAAACAGATCAACTTTAAGCCATAAATTCTTGGTAATAGAGGCCTCTTTTCTCCCCCCTTTCTGTTTATGTTTGATAGATATTTTTGTTTCTGCAGGAATGTCAACTCTTAATTTCATGATGTATCATGGGTTTAAGAAAATTGAATTTAATAAAGGCAAAAGATGAATGGCACCTTTAAAGGTCCCAACACTTGTCTTTATTAGCAGGACAAACTGCAGGGTCTCCAAACACTGCTTCTCTCCAAATGAAAGTTTAAATGAAAAGTACAGCAGTGTCACAGGTTAAATTTCATTGCAGGACTGGCTAACGTCGTTAGTGAGGAGTGGGGCTGATTTCATGGGGCTGGTATCTGTTGCCTTAGATACCAGTGGAGCAAACACTGCCAGAGACTGGAAAAATCTCCGCTATAGGAAGCGTGCAGATAAACAGCCTTTTGGGATAGGTCCTTTACCACTTGCTTCAAAAACTGACCAAATAAGCCCAAAAGAGTGGCTGTGCCTTCTCCTGAGATGCTCAAGTCGCCTCTGAGGTTCCACCCCTGCTCCTGGCCACGCACTGCCCACAGACCTGCAGTAATTCTGGGTTTTGTTAAATTTTCCACATTTTTTTTTAGTATGGCTTTTTATTTCCTCTGTCTGTCTTAATCCGACCCTCCAGGAAGTGCTTTTTGCCTTTGGTTCTGGAAGGCGAGCAACGCCTTTGTGTATCAGATCAGCAGCAGGGCTGTCTTTCAGTCTTGCTTTGCATCCAGCCACTTGATGGCCCCTGAGGATATTGCTGGTCCCTTAGGACCAATCTTGGCATTGCAATGCAGCCCTGCTGTGAAATCCAGCCGGTGTGTGTCCCTCTCTGGAAGGGGTAATGCTCATCTTGTCTTGCCATGGGCTTGCCTGCTTCCATAGTCACCCCCTGGGTGGGATGCAGACCTAAGGGGCAGTGAGATGCCCCAGCCCGATTTGAAGGATGGGATGGTGTTATCCTGGGGTTTAGCCTGGCTCTATTATGGCAGCCTGTCCATTGACTTCAAACTTTGCAGTCTATTTTCCTTCTGAACAGAAATGTGTAGCTTTCAGAGCCTATCTGTGGTAGCCCTTTTGAAGGAAGGATCAGCTGTGTCCAGCATTTCTTACTTTCCCATGTTTCCATGAGTCCTCCTGGGTGGCTGAAGCTGGTGAGTTTGGCTGCACCACAACAGGCAGTCTAGGTGAAGCCCAAGTGTTTTGCATGTCTTCTCTTCCCCTTGCAGCCCCTGGGTTGAGTTTCCTCTCTCTTCTGGGGAAACTTGGTGACTCCCAGTGGGATGGTATGGCTGTGGGGAAGGATGTGCCCAGCCCTTCAATCTACCTTACCCTGTGCAGCACACAGAGAGTGGCACAGCTGACCATGGGGAAACAGTTAAGCCCCACGTCCTCTGTAGCTTCACTGCTTGGTGTCTACACCTGGGTGCTTCAACACTGGTAACACACTATTTTATTTTAAAATCTTTTTCCTAACTTTCCATCTCAGCTGCACGTGCTCCCCACGTGCTCTGGTCTGGGCTGTGTGTCTGCTGTACCAGGGAATTGTTCTGCTGCGTCCACAGGCATCTGTGGAAATTGGGTGCTTCTCCTGGCATTTGAATTATCTGTTGTTTCCATTTACCCACCCAGCTTCTTGCCCTCCCTCTGCCTACTGGGGTGGTGATGTCATCAGCTCATATGTATAACTTCATGATAATTTCCGCCTGTGGGTCATGAGGGTTGTAACCAGGGTCCAAAAAAGTGTGTTAGTTCCTCTGCAGCGGCTGCATTTTTCACATGCTAATTTTACTCACAGGAGTTGGATTTTTTTTTCATTTTTTATTATTTCTTATTTGTCTCTTCCAGATGTTTTCAGGCAGTTTTTTTTTTGTTGTTAAACTAATTCCATTCATGTTTTAAAAATTTATGAAAGTGCTAATAAAAATGTCAAAGTGGTAAAAATGTTAGCTTTTGCTCTGCTTTGATTAAATTTTGAAAACTGTTTTTGAATATTAAAAAGCAATATTTTTTTTATTCTCTCTCCCTCTCTCTGTTTCTCTCCAGAAGTGATTTGAGAGGCTTGTTGCATGGATATCACTCAGCGGGCTCATTTGCACTCCAGAACCTTGGTGCCATGGATCTCTATTAAATAACATAGACAAATTATTCTTTAAAGACACCAAACAAATTGTCACTTCTCCTCTTACATTAAACTGGAAGGAAGAAAGGGAGTGGAGAAGGAGGGGGGTGAACACAAAGGATTTTATCGCTTTTATTCAGTGGTTGGCTTTTTTAATTTCATATATATTTTTTAATAATTGAGAAATCCATCGCAACTGGATTTGTTTAAACTTTTTATTAACAGGTCCATGTAAATTTTTGATTGCTGATTATTCAAATAATTGAACATTCTTCTGATGAAGGAACATTTTTATTTCCCTCTCAGCATAAATTTGCTACATAGAGGAAAATGATGCAGGGCTTGCTACTGTGCTGTATTCCATAGGGATGGATTTGGGGGGAGCTTCCAGCTCCTCTTCTCAGTCTGTTGGAGGAGAGCAGTGCTCCTTGGCTTCTTTGGGGAAGGACGTGCTTCATGCTGTAGTCTCTGTTGTCTTTCTGATGGTGTCCTCCAAAAGGATGGTGGGCTGGAGAGGATGGGACTGGTCTTGGGGAGGGCACAGCCCTTGGGATGTCCTTGCTAAACAGATGTGAGCCCATTGCAAGTATATCTCCGTGTTCCCTGGGTAGCATGTGTGAGTGGGGTGAGAGTGATGTGTGCAGCTGCAGCACTGAGCACAGAGACTTCCTTGCTGCCTGTCCCCGGCTGTGGTGAGCGTCAGCCCTGTCCTCCTCTGTGCTCGTGGTGTTTGATGTGCTCTGTGCCACAGCAGCACTTTCACACTTGTATTGCAGAGCTTTGTGTTGTGTTTATTTTTGTGTGGGACTATCAGGCCCCTCTTTTTACAGCCACTTTGCTAGGTGGGGTAATTTCCAGCTTCCTTTCTTGTTTGTTTTAAATGAACAGCTGCTTTTCTTTTTGCCCTATTCAGGAAATCATCGAATTCCCTATCCTGAAGCTGAATGGCAGGACAATGGAGATCGAATCCACCTTTCACATGTATGTTCAGCCTGTGGTGCATCCCCAGCTTACGCCCTTCTGTACAGAGGTAAAGTGCAAAGGTTCCCTGGTGCTCCAAGAGTCTCCCTGGGAAGCAAATTTCTATTGCACCAGGAACTGGGGTCGCCTCTTCACGGTGCACCTGCAAAGCAGTGTGTCATGCCAGCCTTGAGTTAAGGATGAGGGGAACGATTTTTTATTGTTGCAGTGGCATGTAAAGACTTCAGTTTGGATTCATAAGTAATTCTAGCTGTGTCCTGCTAAGATAGTTGTATTTACAAAACAAATGTCTAACCGTGTGACCACAAAATAAATGCACTCCTGCTAGCTGATGCTCAAAATCCTGCAACTGCTCAGTGAGCTCTTTGTGATTTTGGTGTGCTGCTCTATGGTGGGGAAGGTCAAAGAGAGTATGGTCCAAGGCAAGAAAGTGCTGTACGGGTGTGTGGTTCAGAGGCTGTAAATGACTCTGCCATGGGCCTGCCTGTTGGGATTTGGTGAGTCCTTCAGAGTGGTAAGATAGCCCACGTCTGTATTTTAAAGAATTTCTTTTTGATGTCCTGCCTGTGGGATGCTTGAAATGATTGCTGGAGAAGTGGCCTCTTATTACTTGGTTACTCCGATTGCTGAGGACAGCTACTCTTGAGCTGCAGCCACCCTTCCCCAGATAGAGATGAAATAACGAAGGTGGTAAATGCGATCGATCCCTGAGGGTTCAGAGGAATTTGGGGACATGGGTTGTTTTGGGTTTTGTTGTTGTTGAGTTTTGTTTGTTTTTTCATTCAACACAAAAAGTTAACTGTTTCTCCAAGTGTGTTCTTGTCACTCCACTGGTTCAATGTCAGCCATCTCAGGGACTAAAGTACTGACTGTGGGAATCGGGGTGTCCAGGTTCTTCATTCTGTCCCTGTCTTGTCTAGGATCACCAACACTATGGTCTGTTTTCCCCCATCTATGTAGCTGCAGGTTTAAGCCCTTGAAGTGCTTGTCCCACATGTACTAACCTGATGAAAAATGACTCCTCTGTGTTAGGTGGAGTCCTCTCCAGGACTGAGCAGCCCCTTCCATATTTTCACATTGTAAAAACAAATACTTATTTTTATTCTCTTGTAACTAGAAACCATCTGAAGGTATTTTATTTAAACTTTAAAAAAAAAAGGACTAAGCATGGAAAACATTATTCCCAGGAGAGAGGCTTTCAGAAACCTATAAACGTGTGAGAACAGAGGGTTATAATGGAAATGGTTTTGTAACTTTAATGCTAGAAGGCTGGACAACTACTTTGGCTGTCCTTATCCCCATGAGACTTGCTGGACATATGCTTGTACAAATGTGATAAATCCCACAGCTTGCGCCTGATATTTGCTAAAACCAGCGTCATCTTCTGGAGCAGAGCACAGAATGTCCATTCTGCATGTCATCTAAATTCTAGAGAGAAGTTGTCTCATTAACTCCCACCAAAATTCTTTTTTCTGGAAATTCCTCTATTGCATCCTTCCCCCATTGCTAAAGACCGCAGTTCTCATCTTGCACAAGAGTCTTCATGACTTGCTTGGTATGTCTTACTGAGCTGAATGGAACCTCCAGCTTGCTGCAGTCTGGGAATATTTAGAGGTTCTCTGGATGATGAGTTTGTGACTGAGACATTCAGCCCATCTAATGCTCCCACTGGTTTCTCTGGCTTCTCTTGCTCATGGGAGTTTGGAGCAGCTCTTTGTGTCTCTGTGAGTTTGTGCCTCCTTTATGGAGCCCTGAAGCAGGAGAAGCTCTGTCTGTGTATGTGTGTGCTGTCTCTGTGTTTGCAGGAGTCCCCAGGATGGGCATGGGTGTCCCAGCTCAGTGTTGTGTTGCAGACTCTGCCACTAACTTTGGTCAGGTGTCTTGTGTCCACAGTTGGATAAAAATGGGCAGTGCCATTGCCAGCAGGCAAAACGGTGGCAGAACCCCCACCTGTGTTTAGCAGTGGTACAAAAAGGTCCCACTTGCCAGGTTTGGCAAGTCCTCTGTTATTAACAACATGGGTTATGGAGCTGCTTTTAATCCTAGCCTGGAAGTCACTGAGCTCCTGAGCACCCCACCACTGCACCCCTTGAGCTTAGTGCCCAGCATGGCTCCTGTCCCTCCTGGTCTGGCACTCCCACAGCCTGTTGCAGGGGCTGCCATGGGGTCTAGGACTGGGATCATGCTGGAGGTGTAACTGGGCTTGTCCCTCCGCCCTATATCTAAGGCTGACTTTGAAACCCTGCCCTGAGAGCCACAGCTGAACTGGTTATGCTGAGGACCTTACTGAACAGTGTGATTGATGGCTGCTGCTAGGCAGGTGCAGGGGTCAGCCCTGTGCCACTGATGTAGGTTCCCCTGAGACCTCAGGGAAGCAGTCAGGATGTACTGTGTGTCCAGGTCCTGTGGAGCTGCTGCCTGAGCAGCTCCAGCACTTCCATTGACTTTCTGCTGGTTTATGTTTTCTGAAAAATACTCATTTTGCTAAATGCCAGTAAAGGGCTTTGTCTAGGCACCTCTACTTAGAAAGGGTGAGATTTATTGGTCTCTTTGTCTACAAAGAAAGACCAGGCCTGATTATCAGATTGTACACCAGAGACAAGTGCTTAGGTAATCAGCAAACTGTCTTGGAGTTGAAATATGATGGTTTTCCAGATAAACTCTCTAGGAAAAGCAGTGGTGTTGACATTACGTGGGAGCCTGTCTGCTGTGCTGCTGATTTCCTCTCTCCCCTCTGCTTGCTGCCTTTGCTGGGAAGTCACAGAACTGGTTGGTATAGACTCTGTGTGGGAGGGTTACTGGGGTTGCTTGACATTATTCCTTGGGTCTGGAGTACCTCTCCCATCCCTCTTCCTTCTTGAAGAAGACAGCACATAACAGGAAGGGTGTCTGGAAGAGTGGAGAGCTTGTAGTCACTCTCAAAGGCATCCCTTTAATTACCTTTTGGTGTGTCTGTGCTCTCCCCTGGCTATAGGAGGTTCCTCCAACTCCCCACACCAATGGTTCTGAGCAGGTCTTCCAGTGCTGGCCCACTCTGAGCTCTCATCTGGTCCCCTTTCTCTTGACCTCCTGTAAAACAGCAGGTTGTGAGCCATGGTTAGGGTGAGGAGTGTGCTGAATGCTTAGATGGAGGAGGTGGAAAGTGCTTACAAGTTGTTAAGAGCTGTTATTACATCTTCATAAAGATCATCATGCCCTTTTGGAAGATGCAAGTGGTTTGGTGCCCAAGAGGGTTCAAGCCAGGAGCTTAAGGAAAGGCTCCCTCTACACACAAGGTGCTTGTGCAGGCTTTTTCATGGTACTTTGCTCTCTTTTTATGATTAGTTTTTATTGATTTTTTTTTTTCCTGGAGGAGTAGACAATAAAAAATACAAAAAGTTAAATGTCTTATATAGCTGATGTTCTCAAGTATCCTGTGCTTTTTGGGATCACCAGTCAAACTTTACAATTGTGTGGCTTTATGTTTTTATACTTTTTCAAAGCTGCAAGACCACATAATGCTGCAGAGATCCAATGCACTAGGTTGGGTGTGACAGGTGGACATAACTGATACCAGAAAGGGTGAGAGAATAGAAACCTGGTCCCATTTGATTTCTCTGATCTGTATTGAAATGTACCCATGGGGCAGGTGTATCTCTTGTATTCATGTGTGTGATTTCTGCATCATGAATCTTGTGTGCATGTGTGTTTGGTGATGTGTTCTTATACGGATGAATTGGTACTTTGCTTGGCCTAGCAGGGAAGGAGAGAAGGAGTTTTGGCCAAGAATAAGCAGTGACTCTTGGTGCCACCTCTGCATCTGTTTTAATGTACCTCCCTCCTCCTGACGGTAAACGTCTGCATGGGGCCATTATACCTTGACCTCTCATGGCATCAGGGTGCAGTGCTCAACAGATACAGTCCTGAGGATGCCCAGAGCGGTAGAAGCCATTTGTATCAGTACTGGCTGACATACCGAAAGGTTTCCTGTCATCCTTAGTACAGGGAAGGCATGGACCTGTTGGAGCAGGTCCAGAGGAGGGCCATGAAGATGAGCAGAGGGATGAAACACCTCTCCTATGAGTAGCCTGGAGAAGAGAAGGCTCCTGGGAGAGATTATTGCAGCATTTCAGTACTTAAAGGGTGTCTATAAGACAAACTTTTCAGCTGGGCCTGTTGTGACAGGACAAGGAATAATGATTTTGAACTAGACGACTAAGTATATGGAAGAAAATTTTTATGTTGAGGCTGGCAAAACACTGGCAGAGGTTGCCCGTAGAGGTAACATTCAAGGTTCAGTTGAACAGTGGTCTGAGCAACCTGATCTGATTGACAATGTCCCTACTCATTGCAAGAGGCGTTGGACTGGATGAACTTAATTGGTCTGTTCCAACCCAAACTATTCTATGAGTCTGTGTTCCCTTCCAAAAGCTTATCTTTCAGTCACTTCCAGAGATATGATTTGAGCTGCTGTCTGAGAGACAGTGCCAGCACTTTGCAGTAGGTGAGCTGTCCACCTCTACCAGGTGAATGCATGAGAGAAGGATGGCAAGAAAAGCAAAAAAACATGCCAGTGAGCTTTAAAAACTGCTCTGAAGAGCCACACGTAAATCCCTCAGAACTATTTGCATGTCAGAGTATGGAAGTCTGTAGGTAGCAGCTGTTACCCAATTAAAATACATATTAATATAAAAACAGTTTCTGGAATATAAAAGAGCATCAGTGTCCCTTCACTTCCTTAAAATTCCACCTCTTAATGGCTTGATGAGCTAGAGAAACCCACCTAGAGGAGTTCTGAATTCTTAAAATTAAAATACTTTCCCTAAAAGGTGTATATTACCATCCATGGAAGTCACTATGAGAAAATAATCTTTCCACTTACAGCTTATTCAGTGAGTCAGGTATTTGGTATTCATTAAATGTAATTACAGTTTAATTGGAGTTTAATATCTTTTCTTTTCCCATCCTCTGAGTTTAATGCTGTAAGCCAAGCAGCCAAAGAAACTGAAAGGTAGAAACCACTTAGCTTCTTTCAGTTGCCACATATTTAATAAAGCAGAGCCCTGTGGTTTGTGAAGGGGCTTATGTTTTATGAGTAGGTTGAGCTGGTCTGCGTGGAAGAGTTACTCTTGGGTGGTGGGTTTCTCAAGTGGATGCTATGTTTTCTGGGGACTTGAATGCATGTGCAGGCAGCAGGGCATGCTCATAGGCTGTGTTTGACCTTTATTTTATGAAAACGTGTGAGATGTGTAGCTTCAGGAAAGTGCCATATAAAGCGAAATCCTGTAGTGTGCACTTGTTTTAATAATGATTTTTTTAATTACTTGGGTGCATTGATGGCAAGCTACTGACCTCCGATATTCAATATGTTAAAAGACAGGTTTGTCAGTTGGAAGGCAGACAGAAAAATTATCTATCTTCCATGTGCCTCAAGCTCTCCTGGGTAGACACAGGCAGAGGCTCATGAGACTGCATCTTTTTATGTATGTGTCTAGCTTTAAACAGCCAAGCAGTCCGGGAGCAGTCAGCAGGATTGTCTGTTAGCAGGACCTGTTCCTAAGGAACCTCCTGAAAAACAGAGTAGAAGGGGTTCTGGAAGAAAGTGCTTTTCTTCAGATTTCATTCCATTGTTTTAAATAAAATTTCAAAACGCAGAGGAATGCTGTGATGGACTATGGGAAAACACACATGCTGACTGCGCAGCGCAGGGGAGGATCACTGGATCCACTCTGGGTCTCACCAACAGTGATCGATTCTGTTCGTCTAACACTGAAATTCTGGTGTCACTGTGATCACAGGGGAATCACCAGAGACCTGGTAGTTACTGCTGCCTGTGTGCATCAAGGCAGCCCCAAAACTGGTGAAATGCATGTTGAAAAAGGGCATCATGACAATGCATGACACTGCTTCCCAAGTGGATCCTGCCCAGCTGAGAGTTTGCTGGTTTATGGTATGAGTAGGACCCCTCTACATTTCAGTGTTTGGGGTCACTCTGCTGTGGCTGGCTTCTCAGCAACATCCATGTGGGTCACAGGAGCATGTTTTGGTTGCAGGGAGATGGACAGGAGAGTAGACCTCTCTAATGATCTTTTGAGTGCTGCTCTGATGCCTGCTTTCTGTTTGCCTCTCGTTTCAGCTGACTGGGATTATTCAAGGCATGGTGGATGGGCAGCCAAGCCTCCAGCAAGTGCTTGAGGTAAGCAGAGTAACCTTTAGTTCTCGACCTCTGACCTCTAGTCCTGTCGTCCCCTCTTCATCACTTTCCATGCACCCTCCCCTTGCTGAGAATCGAACCGCGTAATTTGACTATGATTACAGCTTCATTAGAATAACATTTGCTGTCACGTTGGTGACACGCTGCTGAGAGTATCGAACCATTGATCTGTCATCTCCAGCTGTTCATGTCAAGGGTGCTGACAAGATATCCAAACTCCTGCCAGTAGATAGGAGAAGAGGCGATTCTTTCTTGAGCCAGTTTTAAAGCACCAAGACATTGCTCAAGACCACTGCTTCAGGAGCTTCTGCCTTCATTTCTTTTCCCCTCCCTCAGCACTTTATTAAATTAATTTTTCTACCTATTTAAATGCTCAATAATACATGTAGTATAGAAAGAAAATGCCTCTAAAATCTTATCTGGAGGATGTGCAAATGCAGATATAGCCCTAATAATATCATCTGCTTAATGTTAAATTCCTACAGCATTTAAGGCTTAATTAGCTTGGAAGTATTTCTCCATCAATAGCTTTTGTTGGTAGTCAGATAGTGAAGGAAACCTCCTCAAGCAGAGCCTGCTTGGGCTGCAGGTTGGTGTTCGATGCATTGTCTCTGTCAGGATTTCCACTGCTGTGTTATCCTAATTGTTCCTAATCAGAATAATTGCAACAATTGCTTATCTGAGGAAATCAAATTAAAGGCTTTAAAATCCTCCATAGAGACAGCATTTCACATCAGGGAGTTTAGAAAGGTTACTGCTGCTGTCCCTCACTCTGGGCAGCCTTGTGTGAGGGTGGCTGGAAGATCCTGTCAGCCCAGGGGAGGCAGAAGTGTGACTGAGAGGCTGGATGCTGCTTTTGGGGGGAGCTGTACTGAGAGGGCTGTTGTACAGTCAGGCACAGGAAGAAGCACCAAGCCCTGCCAGGACAGGCTGCAGCAGTGACACGAGGCCAAAGATGGTGCTCTGTGAAGGTGACATCTTGCATCCATGCAAACCCCCAGCTCTCCCTGTGCTCTCCAGAGAGCACGTAGCAGTCGTGCTTGTCCATGAACATACGGATGCCTGTGCCTGCTTCCCCAGAAGGGAGACCCCTCTTTGCCTGTATGGGTGAATGTAGATCGCTACTGGAGTGTTACAGAAAATGGTTTGTTCTGTTTCTTTGGAAGCTTCTTAAGAGTGTGGAAACACTTCAGGATATTTTTTTTTTAATTTGGTCCGCAAAGGTGTTAATGCAAAGCATGTTTCTAGATTAAAATTATATTCAGGTCAGGCAGCTTATGGGGCATGCTAGTTTATTCAGGAGCAAATAGTGTCAAGTGAGGGAAAAGAGGAGGGATTTCTCTTGCTGAAGCACTGGAAATGCTGCTAGTGAGGCTGCATAAGAGCAGCTGACTGCTTGCCACCACAAGATTGTGGGCATGTCATTCGCTAGTTTTAGCCGGAATCAGTGTCTATGAAGGGATTTTAGTCTAGGTTAGTTTCTCCTGCTTAATCCCTGAGGTGGATTTCATCCTCCAGGTTAACATGGCCCATTTCTGAAGAGGATCCAGAACGTCTGTCTCTATGGGAAGTTGATCAGGAATAGTAGATTCACTTTAAATGCACACTGCCCTGAACAAACACCTCCTCAGAGCCTGTAAAGAGGAAAGAGGGATCAAGCCTGGAGAGGAAGAGGGTGCATGGCTTTGCTTGTTACTGTCACACTGTGCCTGTGTGCACCCAGCCCCTCCATTTTTCCCTCTTTCCCATATCCTCTTGGAGCTGTATGAATTGGAATAGGTGAGAAATGCTGTAGGGGAGGGATGCCCTCTCAGGATACCTGTGTTTTCTCTTCACTGGGGGGGACACAAGTTGCACTCACTGCGAACCTTTTTGGTACAGGGAGAGGAAAAGAGGAGGAGGAATGCCAGGTAACAGCGTAGTTGTATCGTCCCGTTAACGCTGCACAACTTCCATCCCTCCACAAGCAGAGCTGCTGCGGTGTCTGATAAGATCATCTGTGCTCTGGTCGCCTGATGTCTCCTATCAGAAATCTTCAAAGGTCCAAACGTGCTGTTGTTGAGATGGCAAGCAAAGAGAGAAGAGAGAGAGGGAGAGGGTGGATAAGATCACAATTTTCTTCTCTCTTGATTGCAGGCAGCTTATCTGAGTTTAACTGTTGTGGCTCGGCCTGTCTCTGCAAAACTCATCCCCTTTTCTTGCCTTCCTTTCAGAGGGTTGACGAGTGGATGGCAAAGGAAGGCCTCTTAGATCCCAGCGTCAAGTCGATTTTTGTGACCTGTGGAGACTGGGATTTGAAAGTGATGTGAGTATGGAAGGGGAGGGAGATTTTTCTGGGCTTTATTGCTCATGGTTGCCTGTAGTGCATATGTCTTTGTCCTTGCAAGCCTCCAACTGTCCCTACTCTTTGTTTCTTAGGGAAATCTTTGTTTGCCATGTTTAATTGGGAGTAGGGAGTTGTTTAAGAAGACAGGTGGGTGCTGGGCATAGTGCAAGATCATTGCCTAGGATATTCCCTATCGTGAATGAATCCTTTTAGAATCCCAAGAAAGCTTTAAACTGGAGCTTTGTGATGTTTTCTGTTTTATCCAATATACTTTCCAAAGGGATGGATATTTCTGAGTGCATACATGGAATGCTGTTTTTGTACACCCAAATCAAGTGATGGTCCTTATCTGACTTCCGCATGAAAGGTTTTCTCTCTGTCATCTTGGCACAGTAACTCGAGGGGTGTCATGGAGTAGTCTTTGGAACAGAATACAATCCAGGTCTGGAAAGCTTCATTGGTGTTCTTATGGTCATCTTCATCAGCTGGGTGTCTGTATATGGAGAGTACATGGTGGGGACCTGCACTGGGATCTGCAAGTGTTGGTGTTTCTGCATGTTTTGTTATGAAAATAGCTACACTGCCAGCCTAAAAATGTTACTACAGTAATGGAGTTAAATGTTGAAGACCTAAATTAGTTTAATCTGTAAAGTGTTTGCAGATCGGTGTCATATGGTGCTGAATTCCCTTGGATTCCCATAATCTCCTTTCAGCTTTTCATTTCCCTGCAGTGCTGGATAAAGACTCCTGTTGTTATCACACCAATAATGTATGGGCTTGACACATCCAATGCTAAACTGACAGCCACGACTCGTTAGTAGTGTTACTTGGTTTTCACTGTGACATTGGTTTCTCCAAGTTGGAAGCCTAAATAAACTTCACACAGCTTGGGAGCAATCAGCACCAGTTCCTCCCTGCACAGTGGTCTTTGTAGAGTGGCAGTTTCTTACCTTTTCTTGGTGTGATTAGTGAGACATGAGATATGAGGAACAAAACTCAGCAGAAGCACTAGTGGAGATGAGAAATGGGCCATGCTTCAGACAAGGGGGTGATATGTGAGCTTTTGAGTCAAAATCTGGGTCTTTGCTTGGGCCATGACCAGACCCGGTATATATTTTTTAATTAAGGGTGAGGCTTGGTTTTCTTTATGTTTAAACTTCTATTACAGACTAGCACAAACAGCTGCTGTACTAAACTTCCGTTTCTAATTTTTTCTATTTTCTCCATTCTTTTCTCCTGTATTGCTCTTCTGAAAGTCCAATTTACCACTTTTGGTGATGGTTGTAAGGAACAGTTATCTTCGCTCCAAGTCCATCTTTCCATTGCTTTCACAGTGGGGTAACAGGGTTCCCAGGTAACGACATCCTAACTTGGTGTCTGTATGGAGTGAGCAACCTGAATGTATCGGTTGTTTTGGTTTTTTCGTCAGACCTCTACAGTGGGCAAATAGAGGTAAAGATGAGCCCCATTTCTGATGAGCTGTAGGGGCTATGGGGCAGGCTGGCTTGGCAGGACATACAGTTCTGGAGCAGAGATATACAATTTGCCATTTGCAGTGGTCTCTCGCATGGGTTGTGCCTCACTAGTCAGCTGGAAAAGAAGACTCCACTCCTGGCCATGAGGTTGTAGCGAGTGGTTCATTTCTCCCTCTTCCTTTTAAAAAATTTTTTTAAACCATTAACTTCAGAATTCAATCCTGAAGCATCTCCAGGGCAAAGCAGAAAATACATTTTGTGTTTCCAACCACATGGATAGCAGGAGTCTGGCTGCAGCCGCTTGGTGAGTAGCACATCACGCCGCTCCATCGCCGATTGGGCGCTGCAGCGTGTAGCGTCACATCTGATTAGCGCTGTGCCAGTGGATGAGGCTCGAGTGAGGACTCCCTGCCAGCTCTGACTTGTCTCATTTCCCATTACTTTTATCCGTCACCACAAATGCCGAGTCTCCCTCCTGAACTAATTAAGTTTGCGTGTGTTTAGACACATTGCCAAATAGGGTTTAGCAAAGCAGAACTGAGCATCTCTTTTTAAAGAGAGAAGGCAGAAAGCTGAAATGAAGCTGCTCAGACAGAAAGGTAGAGCCTCAGAGACATGGAACATCTAGGAGGTATTCCAGGGAATCACCTCATGCTTCCTTACAAGACTTGTGTAGCTGGTACCCGTTGCTACCGTGTGGAGACCACACAGTGGGCACAGAAGGCACTAGGGCAGTGGGAGGGGAGGCAGTGCTGCTTGTCCACATTTGGAGGGATGTGTTGGTGGAAACGTTGTGTGGTAGAAACCCCACTGGGTTCCAGAGGAATTAAGGACAGTGGGGTGCGTGCAGTGCTTCCTGGCTTAAGCCACCACTTGTGACAGATCCGCTTCTAACTCTGCTCTTTCTTTTCTCAGCTTCCTTGGTAAAGACAGCTGCTTGCACAGCTGCCTGTGAAGCAAGCTGCAATCCTCTTACCTGTGTCTTGAATGTTTTGGAGTTCCTGTCCTCCATTATCCTTAGCTTGGCTGGGAAACCGTGCAGCCTTGTTCCTGGCTTCTCAATGACTTGGCCATTTTGTTTGGCTTCTGTCTGCATGTGCTGTTGAAGAGCAAAGGCATGGTGTCTTCTGGACAGGCCTGTCTAATTTGAGAGCTTCCGGTAGGTGCCACTGGTAGGTGCCAGGGCACTGGGAGGCACAGTATGATGAGCAAACTGGATGCAGGGGAGTGGCTGGAACAAAGAGGAGCAATCTACAGGTCTGTCAGTGGTATATGTGGGGACGAGGTGGGGAAATAGCCCTGTCTAAGCCAGGAGTTGCAATATGTGTAGCACTCCTAGCTCAAAGTAAAGCACCGGAGGAATAGTGATTGTCAACGTACTGCTCTCTGCTGATGGTGTCTGGCATTATCTGGGTCTGCACAATTCAGGATGGAAACTCATCTGCCAGAGGATCTGTGAAGCTTGGCTCAGGGATCATCAGGGAATGAGGCACTGTGTGGCTACAGACTTTATTTCTCTTGAAGACTGGAGCTTTCTTGAAAGACCACAGATCTGTTCGTCTGGCTTCCCTCTGACAGCAGGGAGCACTAGTCACAAGGACCTGAGTGCCCAGAACAGGACACCAAGCATCTGGGAAGGACTCATGGAAGGTTAGCGTGAGTCGAGGTCCTTGGCCATGCTACCAAAGGCTTTGTCATGGATGAGGTACACCATCCAAAGGAGAGTTCCTGTTGGAGGGATTTGGTTGCTGCTGGAGAGAGCCCATTGCTCAAGGGAGCTCTGAAATGGAGTGCTGATCCACTACTGGCTGCGCTTGGATCAGCCTGCTTTCAGTGCTCGGTGTGTGTGAACCGGGCTGGAGTCAGGGAGACAGCAGCTCTCCTGCTACCCCTCCCCTTCCCTCTTGTTAAGATGCAATTTCTGTAATGAGGAAAACCTCTTGAGTAGGAACATCACCTTTCTTGATGGCTTGTCCTGACAAGGCAGTTCAAGCCGGCAGAGTCGCATATCAACTTCAGCAAATATCAGTCACTCATTACAGAGACTCTTCTCCCCCCACCCCCCAGCAACACCCCTCATTCCCAGACAAGGGAATGAATCACACTCCTGCTCTTGAATACATCATGACAAGTCGTGGTTCTAATGAGAGAGGGCCATTCATTCTGGGTGGAAAGTTCCCTGTGTCGACTCAGAAATGTTATTAATTAAAGAGAGCTACCTGAAGCAAAAGATGAAAGGAGCACCAAACCTGCCAAGCTAAAATATGAGTGGGGATACAGCCTCGTTAGGCACACGGTCCTTGGGCCTCTGCATGCTCAGCAGGAGGATTCCTTTAGCCTGTTGCAAGGAGCTATCCTCCAAGTTTAATAGCTCCAGGGATGTATTCAGATACCTGGTGTACTCTGCTTTAGTGCTCGGACCTCATCCTGCACCTAGGTTGGAACTGCCACTAGTCATTAAGCAAATAGTATTGATATGGCATTGTGTGGTGAGGGTAATGTGCCTCTGTAGGATTGAGGGAGCTGCTGACTGTAGGAGACAGTCTTAGTGGAAAAGAGGGTACATAGTGTCTGCTGGGGTTGAGCCCTTGTAATATTAGCTCTTTAGTGTGGTTTATCTCCTCTGAAATGTCAAATTGCCTCTCTCTGTGTATGGAACCAGCTTGTGGGCTCTTAAACACAATGTAAATTCATCTTGGCAACCAAAGAGGCATTTTTACCGTGTGTTCATAGCTACAAAGCTGAGATACAGTGAGGTTAAGTGATATGCCTGTGGCTGTGCAGGCAGGCAGAGGCAGAGCTGAAGCCTCATGTGCTGAATCTCAGACCTGCACTTCAGTGTCAAGATCATCAGTTAATCCTTCTCCTTCCAGTTTTGGATCATTCTGCACTGAGCATAGTTAACAGTACATGTAGGCTTTGGTCTATATACCTCTGACATGAAGATGCTTGTACTGCACTTACTGTGGCTGATCAGAACATGCTAATTTATGTCTTCACAGGAAACTACTGCTCAGAAGTTTTTTATTTTCTTAAGTAAGTGTTAAAAGGCGAGTACTCTCTAATAAAGTGATAAAACACAGTGAAGTGTCTTGAAATGTTTATAGCCCTTGGTGCTCTTCCTAGGTTGGATATTAGTAAATTCTAAGCAGTAAATTATACCATTGCTTAATTTTGTCTTACTGTTTTAATTCTTTCTTTACAAGTTACACAGGCTGGGAAGGTGCTTGCGTTCTCAGACCAGCTCTGAGTGTGCCATTGGGTTGCTCTTTCCAGCCTTCTGTCCTGGAGGTTTGGTTTGAGATCAGCCTTAGGTCATGATTGAAGAAAGGATGGATGGTGTCAGTGTCCTTTGTGCATGATGTTCTTTATCACAGGACTGGGAGGGGGTTCGTAGCACTGCCTAGGGGAGAAATAGCAGACAGCCACTGACTGGAGTGAGTGGGACCACTTGGGTAGCCATGAGGAAAGGCAGGAGAAGACACAGGGTGGGCTGGTTGGGTG